CTATAACTATAGATTTATAACTATAGATCTATAACTCTAGATCTATAACTATATATCTATATATCTATAACTATAGATCTATAACTATAGATTTATAACTATATATCTATATCTATATATCTATAACTATAGATTTATAACTATAGATCTATAACTATATATCTATAACTATAGATTTATAACTATATATCTATATCTATATATCTATAACTATAGATTTATAACTATAGATCTATAACTATATATCTATAACTATAGATTTATAACTATATATCTATATCTATATATCTATAACTATAGATTTATAACTATAGATCTATAACTATAGATTTATAACTATATATCTATATCTATAACTATAGATCTATAACTATAGATTTATAACTATATATCTATATATCTATAACTATAGATTTATAACTATAGATCTATAACTATAGATTTATAACTATATATCTATATCTATAGATCTATAACTATAGATTTATAACTATATATCTATATATCTATAACTATAGATCTATAACTATAGATTTATAACTATATATCTATATATCTATAACTATAGATTTATAACTATAGATCTATAACTATAGATTTATAACTATATATCTATATCTATATATCTATAACTATAGATTTATAACTATAGATCTATAACTATAGATTTATAACTATATATCTATATCTATATATCCATAACTATAGATTTATAACTATAGATCTATAACTATAGATTTATAACTATATATCTATATCTATATATCTATAACTATAGATTTATAACTATAGATCTATAACTATAGATTTATAACTATAGATCTATAACTATAGATTTATAACTATAGATCTATAACTATAGATCTATAACTATAGATTTATAACTATAGATCGTTCCTCTTTAATAAGATGGGGGCAAAGGTCACCTGGTGACATCATCTGCGTCATCATGGTAACTGATCTTGTGTCTTGCTGAGCCAGTGGGAGTTTATAGATGTTGAACCAGAGAGTTCTGGAATGGAGCCTTGGGGAACCCCACATGTGACCTCTGACCTCTTGATGAGACTTTCCTGTTGAAGTAAATAAGTCAGGATGTAAAGATGCTTTACGTCTTTAGTTTGATCATCTCTAACTGCAAGTAGAAATGATTAAATATAAGAATATTTCTGAGGTGTACTCCATGCTAGCTAGCGACCTCTACTTCCTGTTACCAACCTCTACTTCCTGTTACCAACCTCTACTTCCTGTTACCAACCTCTACTTCCTGTTACCAACCTCTACTTCCTGTTACCAACCTCTACTTCCTGTTTCTGCCAGCCATGTGCAGCATTGACATGTGATGACATCATGCAGGTTGATGAGTTCAGCTCCGACTGCATTCATGCTGCAGGTTCACCTGATTGGAGCGTTTGTTGTTGTAGGCAACCTGGAAAACCCGGAGTGGAGTTTAGTGGCGTGACTGAAGTGGATTCTTCCATGGTGCAGTAAAAACAGCTCTGGAGGAAGTGAGGTCATTGTGAAAGTGCGAGGCTTCGGATGTTTGTCACATGTGGGGGTTTCGTTAACGGCGGCCATGTTTGTGTAGCTGATTTAACTCAGACTCTGGCGAAGTGAATGTTAGAGTATCTGGAGCCTGTGCATATTAATAGTTTTCTATGATTTTGGGTCGTTGTTTTATATCATTTCATATAGTTGAAAGTTTTTTCTAAATGTTGGTTTAGACATAAAACTCCATTTGTTAATCTGGCTACTATTCAAAGATTTAGATTTTCCATAAATTTAGATTATTTATTTATAATTAGGTTGTAAATATATAATATTTTGGCTGAAATAAACTATATTCTGTCCTCCAGCAGGAGGATCCACCCGAACCTGCAGCCTGGAAGCTGCTATGTTGGTTCATTATGAGGAATTAAAACACAAACAGTGGCTGAGCTTCATGATCGAGCTGCGTGTGTGTGTGCATGTGTGTGTGCGGGTGTGTGTGTGTGTGTGTGTGCGTGTGTGTGCATGTGTGTGTGCGTGTGTGTGTGCGTGTGTGTGTGCGTGTGTGTGTGCGTGTGTGTGTGCGTGTGTGTGTGAGAGCAGCTGTGGGGTCAGCAGGTCGTTGCTTCATCCCGGATCAGTCGGTGCCGTTGGAACGGCTGCAGGCTGTTGATGTTCTGGATTCCAGGTTTTCAGGTTTTCTGTTGCTTTATTGAGCTCAAAGCAGGATGAAGGTAGCAGAACCAAACTAAAGCTGGACTGAAGTTGCTGCTCATTTCCTCCAACCAACCATGACTGGAGCTGTGAAGAAGGAAAACAAACCTGCAGAATCTTGTTGAGACGTTCCGATGTGGGATGAGAACCTCTGAGAATAACTTTAGGTGTCGGACCGGTATTAGATCGGGATGTTGGCCCCGTGTGGGATCGGATCGGTATCGGACCGGTGTGGTATCGGACTGGTGTGGTATTGGACCGGTGTGGTATTGGACCGGTGTGGTATCGGACTGGTGTGGTATTGGACCGGTGTGGTATTGGACCGGTGTGGTATCGGACTGGTGTGGTATTGGACCGGTGTGGTATTGGACCGGTGTGGTATTGGACCGGTGTGGTATCGGACTGGTGTGGTATTGGACCGGTGTGGTATTGGACCGGTGTGGTATCGGACCGGTGTGGTATCGGGCCGGTGTGGTATCGGACCGGTGTGGTATTGGACCGGTGTGGTATCGGACTGGTGTGGTATCGGACCGGTGTGGTATCGGACCGGTATCGGACCGGTGTGGTATCGGGCCGGTGTGGTATCGGACCGGTGTGGTATCGGGCCGGTGTGGTATCGGGCCGGTGTGGTATCGGACCGGTATCGGCTCGCTGCTCTCTGCAGATGCAGCAACATGCAGCTGACTGTGGGACTCAGTGTGTTGCAACCACTTCTCTTCTCGTTCTCTGGACGCGCTCCAAAGCAAACATCATGTTTTCTTGGCCTTCTTCCTAATTTCCCTGCAGGAACTCAATACTTGGTGCTGAAGTCGTTTATCACACTTAGCACCATCAGCTAAAACAACAAACTGGCTCCAGATTGTAATTTCTGCTCCGTTTTGTTCTGCTGCTTCGGATCAGCAGGGTTTTCACCTGAACTCTGAGGGTTTCCAGATGTTGCAGCAGGACTGACAGGATTCCTCCCCCTGACTCACTCAGGATTTTCAGCAGAAGCTTCTCGTCTAGGAGGAAGATCATGTCTGCAGGGTGGAAGTGGTTTGGGTTTCTCTCCAGGACGCTTTAGTTCTGTCCCAGCATGCACCAGACCAGGAAGGGGTTTTCAGCTCCTGTTGGGCTGTGTGGAGTCGTGAAGGGTTGTTGCTGTCTGACAGGTTTAGGTTTATTCTGATCTGATGCTACGGCGCTAACTGCTAACAGCTGTTCAGGAACCAGGCTAGCTGCAGTCAGCAACACAAACTGCTTCAGTTTGGTTCCTGATATTCACAAGAACCAATCAGTGAATAATTCAGACGTTCTCTAAAATATTCATAACTGACTATTTTAACAGCAAATGTACCTGAACATCAATTATTATTATTATTTCTTCCTTGACATATTCTGTGTGTGACGTTGAAATGTGCATCAAGTGGTCAGGTGAGGGAATTGCAATCTGTGAAATTGACCTTTCACCTTCAGACTGTCCTGTTGTAGAAATCGGTTGACTGTAATAAGAGTTAGATGGTGGGTTGCCGGTTCGATCGCCGCTCCGTCCTTGTCTGTTGTCTCCCCTGTAAGACACTTTGCTTTGCCTGCTGGTGTTGGTCAGAGGGCCCAGCAGGGGGCGCCGGTGCTGCTCCTCCATCCGATGCGCTCGGCTGCACTGATCAGCGGCGGCTCTCTGAACCGACATGCTAACCTCAGCGTCATGCTAACCTCAGCACCACGCTAACCTCTGCACCACGCTAACCTCTGCACCGCGCTAACCTCTGCACCACGCTAACCTCAGCGCCCAGCTAACTTCTGCACCATGCTAACCTCTGCACCACGCTAACCTCTGCACCACGCTAACCTCAGCGCCCAGCTAACCTCTGCACCGCGCTAACCTCTGCACCACGCTAACCTCAGCGCCCAGCTAACCTCTGCACCACGCTAACCTCTGCACCACGCTAACCTCAGCGCCCAGCTAACTTCTGCACCATGCTAACCTCTGCACCACGCTAACCTCAGTGCCATGCTAACCTCAGCGCCCCGCTAACCTCTGCACCACGCTAACCTCTGCACCACGCTAACCTCTGCACCACGCTAACCTCTGCACCGCGCTAACCTCTGCACCACGCTAACCTCAGCGCCCAGCTAACTTCTGCACCATGCTAACCTCTGCACCACGCTAATCTCAGTGCCATGCTAACCTCAGCGCCCCGCTAACTTCTGCACCATGCTAACCTCTGCACCACGCTAACCTCTGCACCACGCTAACCTCTGCACCATGCTAACCTCAGTGCCATGCTAACCTCAGCGCCACACTAACCTCTACACCATGCTAACTTCTGCACCATGCTAACCTCTGCACCACGCTAACCTCTGCACCACGCTAACTCAGTGCCCCGCTAACTTCTGCACCATGCTAACCTCTGCACCACGCTAACCTCAGCACCACGCTAATCTCAATGCCATGCTAACCTCAGCGCCATGCTAACCTCAGCGCCACGCTAACCTCTGCACCATGCTAACCTCTGCACCACGCTAAACTCAGCGCCATGCTAACCTCAGCGTCCCGCTAAACTCAGTGCCATGCTAACCTCTATGCCACGCTAAGATGTTTCTTTGGTAACGAAGGAGTCGATTAACTAAAGAGCATAGACATATTTTATCAGAGTATTTCTGAGCCTCCCTCTTTACAGGTTTCAGTAAACCTGCTTCTAAAGTGACTTTTCTTCGGGTTAATTTAGGAAGTGAGATCTTATTCCAAGTAGAAAAGCTCAAATATGAAAAATTGGACTGATGTTGATATGCGATAATAACGCTGCTGTTATGTTGGGTTTAATAATAAATCTTTATTAATCATAGGAATAATCGATAGATTACTCGATTCCTAAGACATTAGTTACAACAGCCGTAGTTTAACGGCCTGTCCGTTCAGGTGTCACACAGGAAACTGTCCGGTGGAAACGCGGTTCCCATCAAACTGTTCTGCATGTCATGCAAACCCATCAGGTGGAGCATCGGCTGCATGTCGAAGATCAAATAGAGTCACATTGTGAAGAGCGTCTGACAAAAGACATTAGAAAATACTGAATCTTTCATGATGCATCAGTGAGGGAATATGAGGATGGAGGCGGATGGAGGGCCTGGGGTCCGGATGGAGGGCCTGGGGTCCGGATGGAGCGCCTGGGGTCCGGATGGAGGGCCTGGGGTCCGGATGGAGGGCCTGGGGTCCGGATGGAGCGCCTGGGGTCCGGATGGAGCGCCTGGGGTCCGGATGGAGGGCCTGGGGTCCGGATGGAGCGCCTGGGGTCCGGATGGAGGGCCTGGGGTCCGGATGGAGCGCCTGGGGTCCGGATGGAGGGCCTGGGGTCCGGATGGAGCGCCTGGGGTCCGGATGGAGGGCCTGGGGTCCGGATGGAGCGCCTGGGGTCCGGATGGAGCGCCTGGGGTCCGGATGGAGGGCCTGGGGTCCGGATGGAGCGCCTGGGGTCCGGATGGAGCGCCTGGGGTCCGGATGGAGGGCCTGGGGTCCGGATGGAGGGCCTGGGGTCCGGTTGGCAGAACGTCTTCAGAATCCATTCTGTGGTCACAGCTGTGCAGATTTAGAGCAAACAAACAGAAATGAGGCAAAAATGACAGAAATTCACTTTCTGTCTTCACATCTTTGCATTGTTCTGTCAGATGGAATAAAACAAATTTGAATCAGTTTAAAGGTTAAACATTTGAAGTGGACAGGCTGCAGTGAAAACAAACGTTCTCAATATAAATAGAAATAACTGTCAGGTCATTGTAGATTGAAATGTTCGGCAGGAATTATGGTTTTCCCGCAGAAGGAGGTCAAGAGGCTTCGAGTTCAGAGTCTTCAGTCTGACAGGAAAATATCTGAAGGAACAAACTTTGGGTTATAAAAGCACCAATAAAAGCCGGAAACTCTTCAGATGAATAAATAAATGTCTCGGTTAAATGTTTGGTCAAAGTAGAAATGAGATTCTCAGGTAAACCAATGAGAGTTGAGGTGCTTTGAGGGTCAGTTTCAGTCTATGAATCTCTCTCCTGATTGGCTGTTGCTCCGATTAGCAGTTAGCTTGTCTCCCATCAGAACCTCTGTGGTTCTCTGACCTCCATGCAGCTCTGAGCCTTTCACTGAGATTTATTCCTCAACAAAAACGTTTAGAAGTGATTCATTTAAAGCCATGAGACAACCAATCACACTGCTTGTTGCCTCTGCTTGTTGCCTCTGCATGTTGCCTCTGCATGTTGCCTCTGCTTGTTGCCTCTGCATGTTGCCTCTGCATGTTGCCTCTGCTTGTTGCCTCTGCATGTTGCCTCTGCATGTTGCCTCTGCATGTTGCCTCTGCATGTTGCCTCTGCTTGTTGCCTCTGCTTGTTGCCTCTGCTTGTTGCCTCTGCTTGTTGCCTCTGCATGTTGCCTCTGCATGTTGCCTCTGCTTGTTGCCTCTGCTTGTTGCCTCTGCATGTTGCCTCTGCTTGTTGCCTCTGCATGTTGCCTCTGCATGTTGCCTCTGCATGTTGCCTCTGCTTGTTGCCTCTGCTTGTTGCCTCTGCTTGTTGCCTCTGCATGTTGCCTCTGCTTGTTGCCTCTGCTTGTTGCCTCTGCATGTTGCCTCTGCTTGTTGCCTCTGCATGTTGCCTCTGCTTGTTGCCTCTGCATGTTGCCTCTGCATGTTGCCTCTGCATGTTGCCTCTGCTTGTTGCCTCTGCATGTTGCCTCTGCATGTTGCCTCTGCTTGTTGCCTCTGCATGTTGCCTCTGCTTGTTGCCTCTGCATGTTGCCTCTGCATGTTGCCTCTGCTTGTTGCCTCTGCTTGTTGCCTCTGCATGTTGCCTCTGCTTGTTGCCTCTGCATGTTGCCTCTGCATGTTGCCTCTGCATGTTGCCTCTGCTTGTTGCCTCTGCTTGTTGCCTCTGCTTGTTGCCTCTGCTTGTTGCCTCTGCATGTTGCCTCTGCTTGTTGCCTCTGCATGTTGCCTCTGCATGTTGCCTCTGCATGTTGCCTCTGCTTGTTGCCTCTGCATGTTGCCTCTGCATGTTGCCTCTGCTTGTTGCCTCTGCATGTTGCCTCTGCATGTTGCCTCTGCATGTTGCCTCTGCTTGTTGCCTCTGCTTGTTGCCTCTGCTTGTTGCCTCTGCATGTTGCCTCTGCTTGTTGCCTCTGCATGTTGCCTCTGCATGTTGCCTCTGCATGTTGCCTCTGCTTGTTGCCTCTGCATGTTGCCTCTGCATGTTGCCTCTGCATGTTGCCTCTGCATGTTGCCTCTGCTTGTTGCCTCTGCTTGTTGCCTCTGCATGTTGCCTCTGCATGTTGCCTCTGCTTGTTGCCTCTGCATGTTGCCTCTGCATGTTGCCTCTGCATGTTGCCTCTGCTTGTTGCCCCCGCATGTTGCCTCTGCTTGTTGCCTCTGCATGTTGCCTCTGCATGTTGCCTCTGCATGTTGCCTCTGCATGTTGCCTCTGCTTGTTGCCTCTGCTTGTTGCCTCTGTATGTTGCCTCTGCATGTTGCCTCTGCATGTTGCCTCTGCTTGTTGCCTCTGCATGTTGCCTCTGCTTGTTGCCTCTGCTTGTTGCCTCTGTATGTTGCCTCTGCATGTTGCCTCTGCATGTTGCCTCTGCTTGTTGCCTCTGCATGTTGCCTCTGCTTGTTGCCTCTGCTTGTTGCCTCTGTATGTTGCCTCTGCATGTTGCCTCTGCATGTTGCCTCTGCATGTTGCCTCTGCTTGTTGCCTCTGCATGTTGCCTCTGCTTGTTGCCTCTGCATGTTGCCTCTGCTTGTTGCCTCTGCTTGTTGCCTCTGCATGTTGCCTCTGCATGTTGCCTCTGCTTGTTGCCTCTGCTTGTTGCCTCTGTATGTTGCCTCTGCATGTTGCCTCTGCTTGTTGCCTCTGCTTGTTGCCTCTGTATGTTGCCTCTGCTTGTTGCCTCTGCATGTTGCCTCTGCATGTTGCCTCTGCATGTTGCCTCTGCATGTTGCCTCTGCTTGTTGCCTCTGCTTGTTGCCTCTGTATGTTGCCTCTGCATGTTGCCTCTGCATGTTGCCTCTGCTTGTTGCAGGTTGGTCTTCAGCCAAACACTAAAGAGAAATCACTAAACTCTGACGCCTCCATCTTGTTCCATCTGGTGAAACAGGAAGTTGCTCTCAGTGTCTTCAGAGGTTTTAGTGTCGTTTCCTCCAGTGGTTGTTGGTGCAGCGCCCCCACAGGCCAGGAGGGGAACAGGTTGGTTTGACTCAGAACCACAGCAGCTGCAGGTAGAGCAGATGTTCTGGTTCCGGTAGAACCGGGTCGACCCGACTGAAGGAGAGAAAACAGACTGAGCAGATCAATTTTACATTAGATCAATTATTGCTCTTATAACCATAACAATAATAAATAATTACAATAATAAAAAAACATTATGTGAGTCGGTTTGTTCCTTCTCTAGGCTCTTATTGTGAAGGTTTACAGGAAGTTCTGCCTCAGAATATTCTCAGTATTTTGGGTTCAAAAAGGTCATCAGGTGCTATGAAGGCTGCCCAGTAAACCTGATAAACTGGTGACCAGTTAAACCAGACCAGTCGAAACCTGTTAGCATAGTGAAAAGTTAGCATAGTTAGCATTAGCTTTAGAGCTAATGTTGATAGCTGATTGAGATGATGCGTTCAGTGGCCCATCAGGAAACGATGGATCCTCCTACAGGAACCATCAGAACATTTTACCCAGCTGGACCCGAGTCACATGACCTGTGAGGTTTTTAAATGGAGGACAAAACATCGAACTTTGTTTCCTCTTTTATTCAGTTTGTTTTTGTTGCTCTGCTTGTTTTTACCTGTGAAGTGGGCGGGGCTTGTGGCCCTTCCTGTTCTGGTATCAGCTCATCTTCCTGACAAAATTTAATTTGGCTCATTTAGGCGCCAGATTCTGCCTGAAAGCCGTTTACCTCATGAACTGATTCATGCACAGAAATTCAAAATCAAACAATCATACATACTGAGCATGCATGTGGTGACAGTGGAAAGAAACAGCTCCCCTCCCTGGGGCAAACTCAGCCAGGAACTCGGCTGAGCGGCTGAACTTTGACCCGCCGAGTTCTGCATGTCAGAGAGGTGGACCATCGGGAACCGGATGGATGAGTGAAGGCGGTTCTGCAGAATTTAGGTTTTATTAAAATCTGTTCATTAAAACTGTTGCCATGTTGTTACAGTTTAGTACTAGATGGATCATCTGTGAAAACCTCCAGCTGCTCTGCCTCATCCTGCCGGCAGAAATGAAACGCTAGACATCAAAAACAACCAATCAGAGCCAGGAGGAGGGACTTAGTGCTGTCACTCATCCTCAGGGAGTCGCTGCTCAATGGCAGAGAAACAACTTACTGAAAACAGTTTGTCATCAGTGGTGACTAGCTTAGCATTCATAGCAGACTCTGCTGTCAGGAAGGTGATTGACAGCACTAAGACCCGCCTCCTGGCTCTGATTGGTTGTTTCTCCCCGATCATCTCATGATGCCACAACAAGGTGATTAGCAAAGATGTAATAAATCTAGTGTTTATGTTGCAAACTGCAGCTTTAAACCTGAGGTCATAAAGTTCTGGGGAGTAATCGGGTCGGGTCGGGGTCCCGGTTCCTCAGGTTGTCTCTGATGACGCTGCAGGATCCAGTGATGAGTTCCCGAAACCGACCCATTTACAGGCTGATGACATTAAAACATCTGTTTGCTGTGAAAACCTCGGTTCTGCAGAATTAAACCGACGTCATGACGCCTCTGATCTGAGTCCAGAACCCGTCCGGCACCAGGAAGTGGGCCGGTAGACGGGCTGGTTCTCCTGATGCCTCCTGGCCCAAACAGGAGACCAATAATGAGACGCAGGCGGCTGCAGAACGTCTGTTTGCAGTAAAGAATCTGCCCCGGTGAACCTTGTTGCCCCCCGGTGCAGAACCCGCCTCCTGCTTATCTCTGATCTGCCGTCATTCCAGCGTCTCGCAGGCGTCCAGGCTGCAGCGCTTGTTGCCGCTCCGCTTGGTTTGCGATGTCGCAACACAACAGCTGCTCACCTCCTAATATGGAGCTGCTTTCAGCGCTTTGTTTGGATGGAGCTGGCGCACGCCGCCCTGAAGTAAACTTTCACCTACAGATATGTTCTTCTAACAGTGAGCTCCATGTCCGCCATCAGGATCGGAGCTTCAATCGTCTTTAGGAAAACAGCGTCTGACTGCAGCTTCATCCTGTTTGCTGCTGCAGCAGAAAACAGATCTGAGGAAAACATGGAGCCGGTTCTACATCACCCAGTTCTACATCACCTAGTTCTACATCACCTGGTTCTACATCACCTAGTTCTACATCACCCAGTTCTACATCACCTAGTTCTACATCACCTGGTTCTACATCACCTAGTTCTACATCACCCAGTTCTACATCACCTAGTTCTACATCACCTGGTTCTACATCACCTAGTTCTACATGACCTGGTTCTACATCACCTGGTTCTACATGACCTGGTTCTACATCACCTGGTTCTACATCACCTGGTTCTACATCACCTGGTTCTACATCACCTAGTTCTACATCACCTGGTTCTACATCACCTAGTTCTACATCACCTGGTTCTACATCACCTAGTTCTACATCACCTAGTTCTACTGGTTCTACATCACCTAATTCTACATCACCTAGTTCTACATCACCTAGTTCTACATCACCTAGTTCTACATCACCTGGTTCTACATCACCTGGTTCTACATCACCTAGTTCTACTGGTTCTACATCACCTAGTTCTACATCACCTAGTTCTACATGACCTGGTTCTACATCACCTGGTTCTACATCACCTAGTTCTACATCACCTGGTTCTACATCACCTAGTTCTACATCACCTAGTTCTACTGGTTCTACATCACCTAGTTCTACATGACCTGGTTCTACATCACCTGGTTCTACATCACCTAGTTCTACATCACCTGGTTCTACATCACCTGGTTCTACATCACCTAGTTCTACATGACCTGGTTCTACATCACCTGGTTCTACATCACCTGGTTCTACATCACCTGGTTCTACATCACCTGGTTCTACATCACCTAGTTCTACATCACCTGGTTCTACATCACCTAGTTCTACATCACCTGGTTCTACATCACCTAGTTCTACATCACCTAGTTCTACTGGTTCTACATCACCTAGTTCTACATCACCTAGTTCTACATCACCCAGTTCTACATCACCTAGTTCTACATCACCTGGTTCTACATCACCTGGTTCAACATCACCTAGTTCTACTGGTTCTACATCACCTAGTTCTACATCACCTAGTTCTACATGACCTGGTTCTACATCACCTGGTTCTACATCACCTAGTTCTACATCACCTGGTTCTACATCACCTAGTTCTACATCACCCAGTTCTACATCACCTAGTTCTACATCACCTAGTTCTACATCACCTGGTTCTACATCACCTGGTTCTACATCACCTGGTTCTACATCACCTAGTTCTACATCACCTAGTTCTACATCACCCAGTTCTACATCACCTAGTTCTACATCACCTAGTTCTACATCACCTGGTTCTACATCACCTGGTTCTACATCACCCAGTTCTACATCACCTAGTTCTACATCACCTGGTTCTACATCACCCAGTTCTACATCACCTAGTTCTACATCACCTAGTTCTACATCACCTGGTTCTACATCACCTAGTTCTACATCATCAGGTTCTACATCACCTGGTTCTACATCACCAGGTTCTACATCACCTAGTTCTACATCACCTAGTTCTACATCACCTGGTTCTACATCACCTGGTTCTACATCACCTAGTTCTACATCACCTAGTTCTACATCACCTAGTTCTACATCATCAGGTTCTACATCACCTGGTTCTACATCACCTGGTTCTACATCACCTAGTTCTACATCACCTAGTTCTACATCACCTGGTTCTACATCACCTAGTTCTACATCACCTGGTTCTACATCACCTGGTTCTACATCACCTAGTTCTACATCACCTAGTTCTACATCATCAGGTTCTACATCACCTAGTTCTACATCACCTGGTTCTACATCACCTAGTTCTACATCACCTAGTTCTACATCACCTGGTTCTACATCACCTAGTTCTACATCACCTAGTTCTACATCACCTAGTTCTACATCACCTGGTTCTACATCACCTAGTTCTACATCACCTGGTTCTACATCACCTAGTTCTACATCACCTGGTTCTACATCACCTGGTTCTACATCACCTAGTTCTACATCACCTAGTTCTACATCACCTGGTTCTACACCACCTGGTTCTACATCACCTGGTTCTACATCACCTGGTTCTACATCACCTAGTTCTACATCACCTAGTTCTACACCACCTGGTTCTACATCACCTGGTTCTACATCACCTAGTTCTACATCACCTAGTTCTACACCACCTGGTTCTACATCACCTGGTTCTACATCACCTAGTTCTACATCACCTAGTTCTACATCACCTGGTTCTACATCACCTAGTTCTACATCACCTAGTTCTACATCACCTAGTTCTACATCACCTAGTTCTACATCACCTGGTTCTACATCACCTAGTTCTACATCACCTGGTTCTACATCACCTAGTTCTACATCACCTGGTTCTACATCACCTGGTTCTACATCACCTAGTTCTACATCACCTAGTTCTACATCACCTGGTTCTACATCACCTGGTTCTACATCACCTGGTTCTACATCACCTGGTTCTACATCACCTAGTTCTACATCACCTAGTTCTACACCACCTGGTTCTACATCACCTGGTTCTACATCACCTGGTTCTACATCACCTAGTTCTACATCACCTAGTTCTACACCACCTGGTTCTACATCACCTGGTTCTACATCACCTAGTTCTACATCACCTAGTTCTACATCACCTGGTTCTACATCACCTAGTTCTACATCACCTGGTTCTACATCACCTAGTTCTACATCACCTGGTTCTACATCACCTAGTTCTACATCATCAGGTTCTACATCACCTAGTTCTACACCACCTGGTTCTACATCACCTGGTTCTACATCACCTAGTTCTACATCACCTAGTTCTACATCACCTGGTTCTACACCACCTGGTTCTACATCACCTAGTTCTACACCACCTAGTTCTACATCACCTGGTTCTACATCACCTAGTTCTACATCACCTAGTTCTACATCACCTGGTTCTACATCACCTAGTTCTACATCATCAGGTTCTACATCACCTAGTTCTACATCATCAGGTTCTACATCACCTGGTTCTACATCACCTAGTTCTACATCACCTAGTTCTACATCACCTGGTTCTACATCACCTAGTTCTACATCACCTAGTTCTACATCATCAGGTTCTACATCACCTGGTTCTACATCACCTAGTTCTACATCACCTAGTTCTACATCACCTAGTTCTACATCACCTAGTTCTACATCATCAGGTTCTACATCACCTGGTTCTACATCACCTGGTTCTACATCACCTAGTTCTACATCACCTAGTTCTACATCACCTGGTTCTACATCACCTAGTTCTACATCACCTGGTTCTACATCACCTGGTTCTACATCACCTAGTTCTACATCACCTAGTTCTACATCATCAGGTTCTACATCACCTAGTTCTACATCACCTGGTTCTACATCACCTAGTTCTACATCACCTAGTTCTACATCACCTGGTTCTACATCACCTAGTTCTACATCACCTAGTTCTACATCACCTAGTTCTACATCACCTGGTTCTACATCACCTAGTTCTACATCACCTGGTTCTACATCACCTGGTTCTACATCACCTAGTTCTACATCACCTAGTTCTACATCACCTGGTTCTACACCACCTGGTTCTACATCACCTGGTTCTACATCACCTGGTTCTACATCACCTAGTTCTACATCACCTAGTTCTACACCACCTGGTTCTACATCACCTGGTTCTACATCACCTGGTTCTACATCACCTAGTTCTACATCACCTAGTTCTACACCACCTGGTTCTACATCACCTGGTTCTACATCACCTAGTTCTACATCACCTAGTTCTACATCACCTGGTTCTACATCACCTAGTTCTACATCACCTGGTTCTACATCACGTAGTTCTACATCACCTGGTTCTA